TTACTTGCAATCTTGAAAAAGGCCAGCTCCCTGTAAAAATCTGAGTCACTGCAGTACAATTTTTCTTTCTTTCCTGCAGACAAATTTCACTTGCAAATTTTATACCTGAGTTTGAATTGCAATACTTGTTCAGCATACTGCAATACATCTTCAGGTCACAGAAGAACAACAAAAAAGCAGACATCGCTTTTATTCTTTAACAATTTAGTTCTACATGTAAAGTCATTACGCAAAACCTTACCCCATAGAAAATTTTCTGCAGAAAGTTTTTTGGTTTTGTTTTGTTTTAATTTAATACTTTTTAGGAGCAGCAAACACAAGAAAATCCCATGAAGCATAATAATGAACTTCAATGTATTTACATTTTAAATGTGTTTAAGTGCTAGAAGTGGTCTGAAGGGATTGTACAGAAATAAGCTTAAAATATAAAGGAAGACAAAGTAGAAAACTGTGTTCCAGGTAGACACAGAAGTAAACATGAACACCCCCATACTTTACATTTTGGATGTTAACTTTGTCTCTCTATTATTGTAAGTGCCACATGTTCAAGGTGCTTCTCAGTGAATTTGTCACTTGCAAATTGTCAAGGAAAGCCATTACTCAGGAAGAACCACAAAGATTTATTTGTTTCCTACCTAATTTATTTTAATCTTTCTACCCATAATATTTAAGAATCTTTCTACTTAAAAATCACCTCCTACCACACCTCTTCTAATTTAAATAGCTTTTGAAGATCCTCAAACAATTTTGGGGCAGGTCATAAAAAGACAGATTACTTCATAGCGTGTTTGAATATCCTTAATGCAAAACACAGAAGTGAGTTTCAGTATTTTTAACAACTGAAAGCAGTATTTCTCTGCTCTAACACCTGAATCTTCCTGTTAAGTTCTAGATAAAACATAGCAGCACATGCTTTTAACCTCTAAAACCAGATCCCATAACTCCCATACTAGCATACTTGCAACATTCCCGAGACAGATAAAGGAAGGTTACAAATGGCACAGAAAGCAACAGGTCTTTTGGTGACAAGTCACAGAGACAGACACACTGTTTTAAGACTAACACCCACTTGCTCCTGGAGTCTGTTACAGATACTAGCCAATACCAAATCTTTCACAAGAAGGAACAGATGAATAACAGACAGTTAGAACTACTGTACAGTACAGGTTTTGCTGAAAATGTTTGTATTAGGGCATAAGAGGTAAAAATCTACCTATAATGTGGGCATTGGTGTGGAGTAGAAAGAGAAGTAACAAGTGGCACCATAAACAAGCTCAAAAAAACCTGTGTGATTTGCTTTCTCATAGTGCCTGAAGACAAGGCTTATAATTCTCTAAATATAAAATGAGCCTAAGTGTAGATTTAATCCAACATTAAGTAATAAATCTTGCTTGAAGACGGAAAAAAATATTTCTAACACAATAAACACATACTGATTTATGCAAAGCTATGCAATGCAAATAAACACAAAGCGAAGTACCTATTAATTGAGCAATACTATTAAGCCTCCATTTTGGATTGCCTTCTAACCACTCCATCAGTATGATTCGGAGCTGTTCACATAGTTCCTTACTTATAGCGCACGAGTAACCAAAGACCCCAGTTAAGGCCTTACCATGCCAGACGCTATCCAGCAGTACAGACATGCACAACTCCTACCCCTAGCATTACCAACTACTGAAAAAGTACATTAAAAAAATGCAGTATTTTCATTGTCGTGTCTGGTTTAGTATTTATCTCTATACTGTCCCAATTAATAAACCCCAAAATTGTTTAAAAAAAATAACAGAAAAAAGGCTGGTGTAAAAAAAATTCTGTTCCGAAAAAAATTCTGTTTCTGTAACCCAATTTTCATTTTTTCATTTAATTTTTATCTCTATTTGTAGCTTTTAACCCAGGACCATTTGCAAATTCTCATGAAACTCTTGTTTTTCCAACATTTATGCCATTTTCCCCAAAGTTCCCTATACTAGCTGCCTATTCCATACAAACTAATTAAAAATAAGCATATCAGTCCTATGAATAACATGCAGTATACCCCTGCAGAAGCACTGGTGAATATGTAGCGTATGCCAAAATTTGGTATTGCGCTTTAGCAGTATCTTCTAAGCCTGTATATTTTACTATCATACATGAAGACAGCTAATACTCAAAATGGAGCTGCAACAGTGTGTGAAAAAAAACTTTGTTTAAATAAAAATTGTCTCTTCCAATAGCAGCTTTATTGGTGAAGAGACACCAACTAATGTAATACTTCAACATTATCCATATTACACTAAAAAGGATACCTCTTAAAATTACAGCTTTCAGGAAAGCATATGGATTCCAGTTATCACAGGAAAAAAAGAAAAAAAAGAAGAAATTGGTAATATGATAATTTCAATAAAAAACCATTTCAGAATTCCAGAAAATTTTGTGCATCTTATTTTGGAAGTACAACACAGCTCACTTCCTGAGGGATTTCTGAAATTCCGTTTCTAAAAAGAAGAGTCTAACGCTCTTGCTTGACAGCGCCAGAAGTACTGGTGGCTGACATGATTGAAAGAGAAGGCTTTTAATGAACTCATCTGAAGTGGCCACTCTTACGCTGAGAACAATCAGGGGGAGCAGACAGAAGAGGCAAGATTTCAAGATGCCCATCCTTTCTCAGTGCCATTCTTTCTTCCTCCTCCACCAAGGCTGGGACTCCCCAGCCTCAGCAGTAGCAGATTTCATTACTGGCAGAGTCTCTGCAGCCACTGAGCACCCTGGTGTACCCAAACTGCTGCACAGCTGATCCGGATCTTGTTGGGCCAACTGCTCTTTTGGAGTGGATTAGACAAACGGCATAGTCAAATGCGGTTAATGCTGACGAGCTGAACAGCAGGAGGCTGCATGGCTGCTCTTGCCACTGTTCCAAGTCCAAATACTCATGAATTTTGTTTGAATACCTGCATAACAACCCCTATCCGGCCATATTTATCCCCTTTCAGAAAACAATGAAATAGCATTTCAAGAACTTTTTAAGTGTTCCTCTATGACTAAACTTCAATTTTCACAATTAAGAGGTATCAAGAAATTATCCATTTTACTGGACAGTAAACATTAGGATATTTTTTTAGTCACAGGACTAGCCCATAAATGAGAAACAAGACTGTGGTAACATAAAACTAGTCAGATTTGGAAACACAGTTTTAAGGATTTCTATAATAATCAGTTATTTTCAATTTATCAAAAGCATCAAAATCCTAAGATTATGAAGTAGTTGCCCTTTTCTTCAAAACAGATTTATGAATCATGTAATAAGTGGTAAAGTTTTCAATTCCAAATTTGGAGAGAACACAATGAGCAAGTACATGTATCACTTCACCTGAAATCACTCAATATTCTCCCCCCACTTGGCATTCATTAAATTTGGTAGTATAAAAAAAGTGAAATTACAACCATTTCACCTGAAACACTATTGAATTGGCAAGAGGAGGTTTAAATTTAAGCTTACGTCCATCACCCATTTTAACCACTGGATGCTGAAAATACATATAGCCTCTCAAACAGTCTGAAAAAACTTAAGTGTTTACAAAAAGCTGATGCTACAACTTGGACTGCAATTCCTCAAGTTCTTTTTCATCTCTATCTATGAAAATTTCAATCTACAATCCAAGGAAAAAAGTAGTATATAATATAAAACGAAAGCATATTCTGCTCATGTGTATCAATTCACAACCAGAAAATAGTCAGCTGTATTAAGTATTTTGTTATAGTCTTAAATAAAATCCAAAATGCTGAAACTAGCAATGAACACCAGCATCCTACCAAGTAATTGTACTTCCTTGAAAGTATAATCTAATTAAACTTTTTCAGCCACCGACAGACTAAAAAATTCATAATAAATTGAAGTCAACAATTCAAAAGCCATTCAAGTACGAGAAACAATCACTGATTTTAATGATCAGAATTCTATAATGTGAAGTGCTGAAAACAAAACAGAGCAGTGTCACCTTCTGTACTTTGTACCAAACTGTTTGAATAAATGTACTAGAGTTAATCCATAACTTACAAACAATATTACTCTCTTTGAAATGTTACATTTTCCCATCCTGCCATACTCCTTCATCAATTATTTTTTAAACAAGCGGATTTGTTTTAGGGTAGCCTCCAGCACTACTGCTTTGTTATTTTTAGACTACTTGACCACAGACAAGAAATAGTCTCTTACTTAAAAGTCTGAATCAAAAATTATGTAGGAAAATTATCTTTGTAATTACTTGAATTCTGTTCACATCTACATGAAGGCGTTAGAATGTTAGATCCAGAAAAAATTTGACTGGACTCTCACCATAAGCTTACCCTATACACATCTACTGAAGATTTCTGATCTTGGACTTATAATAATTTTACTTCATCTGCCTATGACTTTTTCCAGACAACACCGAAACTATGCCAAATTATCTGAAATGTAGCTTCAGCATTTTGTATCCTTAGAGCTGATCCTTTCCTCAACTTTAAATACACTCGCTGTTGGAAGCTGCTCTGCTAGCCCCTGGCTTTAACACGTTGTGATGAAGGAGTCCTGAGGAGTCAGCATATTTTGACAGTGAATTGGACAAGACAGGACAAAAATGAGAATGGAGGAGAAAACACGAATAGGGTGCAACCATCTATTTTTATCAGCTAGCATTTCTACCAGCTTTAGGCAGCAGGTAATTGGAGACTATACAGTTCTTACACAGAAAGTTTAAATATTTCACTTTTATTAGAGCTAATCTAAAAAGCAATTATGAAAGATCAAAAGCACTTGCATTGGTGTATTTTATATGTATTGTTAAATTTATAGTCCCCAAGTTGAGTCTGTTTTGCCCACAAGAATAAATGGTAAACAATCTCCCTATCTTTGTATTGACTCTGAGTTTTCTCATCCTGTTTTCTCCTTCTGTCCCACCGAGGAGGAGAGTGAATGGCTGGATGGGCTTGGCCCTTAGCCAGGGTTAACCTACCACACCAGTACATATGACTGTGAGAACAATCTTTTGACTTACTAGAAGTAGGTTTCTTTTTTTCTGGACTTCCGGTATCTTCCATTTCTGCTTCAGTGCTCTCACTGGCTGCAGCTGCTGCCTTTCTTTTTTTCTAAAAAATAAAAATAAAAAAATAATAATTAAAAAAAAAGCAACTGAGCTCAAGAGCAGGAAAGACCACAAAAAGTAGAAAATATCCTAATATCCTATCCTCACAAGGTATTCCCTGATTTTAAGCACTATTTCTTCATACACTATAAAACATCTCCAGTTATAGATAAAATTTACTAATATATTAATGCAAGAATACTAGTACTAGGCAACAGGCAATTTAAAAGTTCCGTTCCCCTATTTGCAGACCACATTAGGAACTGAAATCTTAATCTAAGAAAACCTAAGTTTTTCATGATCAAAACCTTTTTTTTTTTAATTTACATTGAGTAACTTATAAAAAGGAGAAATCTGAAAAATCTTAAAGAACACAGAAAAAATTTTACCCCAAGTCGATGTTAATTCCTTTTTTTTTAAAGCAATTACACCTCATTAAACCCAAGTTTATCTGGATCCTTGCTTCTTAAGGCTTTCTTTGCACAGCTTAAAAGTAGCTAACACCCACTGACAGTACATTATTATTGTTTCCTAATAGCAACTACAGGTTCTGTTCCAAGGAGAGAGACTTGGGAAATCTGAACTCTATTCAAGGTACATTATCTTAAAACCTCTAAATGGATAGAACTGTTATTATCTGTGTATTATAATTAATCTTACTATTGCAAACTATTCCTAAGGTGGTTATGGAAAGATTATTTTTTTAAAGCCATGTCATTTTTGCAAAAGATGAGTTGATCTGTATCTGTATCAGACATAAATGATAACTTTGATGAACACTGGAAGAGTTTACCTTTTCCTTTTTTAATTATTTTAACTGTGTGAGACTAGAGTTTTACTAATACAGCTTTAAAAGTGGCTACAACTTCACATAGCTCACGAGAGAAGGGGAGAGTGCATTACATCTTTCTTTTCCAAAGTGTTGCTTCATGATTACCATCTAAACCCTGCTGGGCTGAACAGATTGGTTCGATAATTACATACAATAACTGCAGTGGGCAGGTAACCCTCAGCTGGCACAGGGCAGCTCCCCTGTGAGAACTTCCATATGCAAACTGCACTGATGGAGTGCATTAGGTACATCTTTCCTGCCGGTGCACAGGCCTGATTACCGCCAGCCAAGACTCCAAGGTTAGCATGTCAGCAGATTTGTGATGCATTAGGCAAGAATAAACAGAGACACTTTTGTTCGTTCTGACCAAAATTAAGGAGGACTATTTCAGCGCTGCACTGCTTTTATATGAGAGATAATGCATTCCTCCCAATTGTACTAGAAAACATTTTAAACGCTCATCAGAAAAACAGATACCAAATACGTGCTACACAAAAGCAAAATACATTTATCTTGTTTCCAAGCTTATTTGATAAAAAGTGGTGTCTTAATCTTGATGCAGGTGAATTACATAGCAGTAGAAATCAGGCAGCATTCATCTGACAAATACAACACCTGCGCATCTGAAGCTCAACATTAGAAGGAACCACAAATCACTAAGATCCATGTTTTTCCAGTTGAGTTTACTCCCAATAATTCCTAGCAACTCTTCAGCACTAAAGAAAAGTAAGATGCAGTCATTGCCCTAAAAACTTTAGCCAAAAGCTCCAGATACTTCCTTCAACACATGGTACTGTCAGCTTCTTGTTTTGCTAGAGCTGTTATAAAATATCACACACACACAAACCAACATGCATTTACTATACAAAAATAACCAACACAAAACACCCCACCCTCCAGCAGAACTGTGCACTGTGTTTCATTTACCTATACATCTGGGGAAACTTGAGTCATGATATAGAAGACAAAATGTTAACTTTTAATACAACAGACATCTGTGAATTTTAGCCAGATACCAATACTGCTGGAGAATGACTGAGATTCCAGAACAACCATGCTTTATGCAACATGTAATGCACATCATGGCTCAACTATCTACACAGCCGAAAGCACAGGAGAATCCTATATTCTAAGAAATTATTTCCACAGAAGCTAGAAATATTGTCTCCTAGCTATGAAATAGCATAACTTCAGAACACCAAGTAACACTTTTAAGAAAGTATTATCATAGATTGCACCAAAGGAATTGAAGAGTAGGTGTCTTAAGACCTGTTGTAATTAAAAGATCAGTACAGCCAAAATGCCATAAATGCTCTAATATTAGAGGTCACCAGCTTCTCAAGAGTGGATGCCAGATTGCATTTTTCTTTTCCAAATTAGACAACAAGCATGCCAAAAGAAATTCAGCATGTGCTAGAAGATACTGGCTTTCAGAGGCAAGATGCTACTGATCCGTGGTAAGTTATCTCTATGGAAAGCAGTTTCTAACAGAGTTTGGAATGTAGAGCTTATCTTTAAAACAGTCAAGTTAAGCTTCCTGTCACAGCTGAAAATACATATAATTTTAATGGGCATTCTATGTTCTTCCTTTCTTCCTCTGTGTATCTAAGTGTTCAGCGATTCTCAACTAGCAGAAATTGCCTTCCTGCTCTCCTAGCCTCTCAGTAGTGTCTGATGCCCCCTGGAACAAAAACCTAGTAGCATGAGTCCCACAACATGTGTTCTGGGAAGGAAGACATCCT